GAACACCTCTGATGTGTCTATCTCTTCAACCTTCTGTGAAAAGTACTTGTGAGACTCTTGCGCAGGTGAAGAGTATACCTTCTTGGGTGCTCTACTTAGTAGCATAGGTGTCAATGTTAATATCTTATGTCTGGTGTCCATGATGATGAGTGCTTGTAACAACAGCAGATGGTGTTTCTTTGTAGCATATAATAAAAAAATCAGTGGCACTAATAGATAAAAAAAAATCTATTATATTACAACTAGCTTACTACTCTATTAAGTCTACTTTGTCCTTGTCATCACTAGAGACTCGTACATGCAAGATAGCAAATACTCATTAGAAGACATAAACTTGTTCCTGTTAAGTCTATTTCTTGTTTCCAACTTAAATCCTATATTGGTAAACTGCTCAATGAGCTTATCTACGTCTACTAAATCTTCTACTTGATTCGTTACAATGGTGTTGGTACTCATATTTTCTATGAAACAAAATTCAAATTTTTGAATTTTTGACTTCACTATGGTATTTAAAAATATGAATAGCTTAAGAATCTTGTATGGACTTCAAATCTTGTTCCATTTTTTTATAATGGCTTCCAATGTGGTAAAACTCATTTTTACCAAAGTCTTGAAATCTTTTCTAAAAATTCCTAAATAAATTTTGAAAAACTTTTAAATTTTTTATTTATTTAAATTCATATTTAAAGCCATATTTTCTTATCTTGGTGATTTTTTATAGAAATAAAATCAATTTAAATCCACTAAAAATCCTATTTTTTATATAATTAATTAAAATAATATGAAGTTCTTTTTATGTTTTTTCTAACTACTAATTAATCATTTATAGGATTTTTTTAAAGTGACATATATAGATAGGAGGCTAATAAAGACATTAGTTTCAATAATTAATCTTTAATAATTAAAAATAAATAAATATAAATAAAAATACTAAATCAACTAAGATTATTACTTCTAAGACTTACTAAGACTCCATTTTTATTACTTTTCTTCTAATAAGACTTTTGTAACTTATAAATACTTCTAATTCTTAATAAATAATTTAATAGTCAAAAAGAATTTCTAACCTTAATATTTGTATAATTAACAGACCTAAAACTATGCTTTTAATCTATTTACCAATTAAGTTGTATTGGTAGAACTTACATAAATTCAACTCAAGCGCTATTATTTGCAAACAAATTTAAAAAAATACTAAAATTATTTCAACATTCAAGACAATATAAAAAAGATGAAGACTTTTTAAAAAATTATGTACTTTCTTGAATAGATGGAAAAATATAATGTGTTGAGTATCACAATTTTTTTTAAAAATCTATATTTGATGATATTATTAAAATAGAAATTACTTCAAATGATATTTTTAATATTTTATTTGAAAGAAGTTATAAAGCCTCAATAATGATCAAATAATAGGGTGTTATTTTTGCTTTATTATAGAACATTATCAATGATTGAGAGGGCCCATCAACTATCTTTGATTAAAAGAAAAAAATAGAAAATATGACAAATATAGTTTGTTGTATTTTTAACTTTATAAACATGAGATTAGTTTTATTTGTAGAACTTGTTTCTAGAAAAGAGAAAGATGGATAATGGCACATAAATAAATATATATATATATATATATATATATATTAATAATTATTAAGTTTAGAAGAATAAGATAGAAATAAGTAGAAGCAAGCAAATTTTATAATTTTTTATAGAAAAGCTTCTTAGAAATTATATAGATACAGTTTTGACTTTCTAAGTATTGGTAGATGATTAGTAGGTTGAAAAACTTAACAAAGAAATTAGCTACATATTGTACATGTTGATTACTATTATATAAGCTCTTCGTGTAGCATATATATTAGAAACTTGTATTGTAAGATAGACATGTATTCCACAAGTTAGATAGGTATTGAATGACCTATAGAAAGTTTTCATATAGCTCCTAATAAGATAGTATATATTAAAAGCAAGAATGAAGCCTTTGTCATTTTATTAAAGTTTTTTTTTGTTATTAGTCTTTTTTAAAAAAATTCTAGTCTTTTGTGTTTGATAATAGCCATTCTAATGTCTAATTTATAACTATCCATGGTATATCTAATTTTTATCTTTAAATGTCACAAGAATATAATGCTTCTATAAAGTTTTGTTATGATTTATGTCCTTGACAATATTTCAAAATTCTATATGACTTGCATAATGATAAAAATATCATCTTTAAAAAGATTATTGATATTTCAGGATTACATTAATAATCTCATAAATATTTTAACTTTTTTTTTATATATATATATATATATATATATATATATATATATATAGAGAGAGAGAGAGAGAGAGAGAATAATATTGATTTAATCCTAATAAATATTATATATTAAATATTTAATATTTAATATTAATCTAATAAAAAACCATAAAAAATAAAAAATAGTGAAATTCATCATAATAATAAAATCATGTCATTAATTTAACTTTCTTTGATAATATTTTCTACCTTTGGGCATTATCAAAAATAGAGATATTATTCTTAGACATTTTCTTTTTCTTTGAGACATATACAACTCATAGATATATATAAAAAAATTCTATACTTTCTCTAAGATTTATAGTTAGATATGGTTTTGAAGTTTTATGCCTTAACTCATAGAACCTTGAAAGGACCCATTTCAAAAAATTAAAGCAGACTCAGAGACAAGAACCATTCAAAGCTTTTAAGCAAGTTTTTCACATAGTTTTTATTTTATTTTATTTTATTTATGATGATAAATTAATTAGTTCTGAAATTTCTACTTCTTATATGAAGGATCTCTTAAAAAGAAATACTATTTGTTAAGGCGATTTTTTCACATTGATTATATGGAAATGATTAATAAAATAATCAAAATTATATGGCTACTTTATAATTAAAATAGATTCTTATTTTTTTTTTGATTATATTTTTGTAATAATTCTTTTAAGAATACACATAAAAATATCATGAAATATGCAACTTTTTTCTTTTCTTTTTGTTTCTTTAGTATAATTATTTTAGTATTCTCTTTTTCACTCAAAGTGTTATTTGGTTTATCCAAATACAAAAGAAATGTAAATCATTCTTCCTTGTATTTTACACCAACAACACTTTATATAGCTTAGTTACTAATATGAATTTTTTTCTTTGTTTTTTTGTTTTTTTAATTAATATGTATAATTAAACAATCTTCAATTATATATTTTTTAAATGGTATTTTATTTCAGTTAATTTTAAGCTATGTATTAATAATTTCAAATGATATTATTCAAATATTTTGAATAATATTATATCTTATTTTGCATGAAAATATTTTTATTTTTTGAATTAAATTTTTATACTTCTTATAAATTTATTTGTCTTCATATATATATATATATATATATATATATATATATTTTTGAAGTTTGTATTGTTGTCTTACTTCTTCTTAATTAAATTAATGGTTTAACCAATCTAATGTAACTTATGGATTTTTAGGCCAAAATCAACTTTTAAAGAACATAGTTTAAAAGCCTTATGAAATTCTTTTCTTAGCGAAGAATATTTGTCCTTTGGAAGTCTTGACCTTCGGAGATAGTATAGAGTTTTAAGAAGCTACTTCTTGGATCAATTCATTGTTTTATTTATATTTCTAAATACACAAGTTTAATTTTAATAATTATGAAAATAATTATAAATGTGAACAAAATCAACATTTCAAATTTTTAATAATTTTTTTTGAGAAATTTGATATAATCTCTCAAAATTTATAAAAAAAACAACTCTTAAAGTAAGTCTATTACAAATTCAAATAAAAGCAATATTTATGCCATGCAATAAATACTCTACCTTGTCATTTTTTCCATCTCTTTTTGTCTTTTTTCTCATGTCTTCTTGGCTTTTCTTTTCATCTCTTTTTTACTTTTCTTATTTATTATTTTTCTTTTATTTTATGATTTGACACCACAAACAAGGTATATCCAATGCATTGATTGAATAAAAGAGTTACAATAGACACCTTATCCCTTGATACCTAAAGATATCAAGGGAGCAGAGATATCAAGGGAGCAGAGATATCAAGAGAGCAGAGATAAGGATTGTTATTACTTCTTAAATTGGTGCACTAGAATAGATTATTAGTTCACATTAAAAATAATAATAATAATAATAATAATAATACAAAAAATGACAATCATTTACTTCTTCCCTTTCTTTCTTTCTTTTTTCTTTTTTTTTTTTTTTTTTTTTTTTTTTCTTTTGTCAACAAATACAAATTCATATTTGCATATTCTTCCTCATACAGCTCCTCTATGGTTTTGTGTTGTAAATTAAAAAATGTAAAATAATAAAAAATTCTGCCGATTTATGGGACGGTTTTTACATTTTTCTCCAATACCTCTTTCTAGGACCATGCATGTATGTATTGGAAAATACTGCTTGTGGAAAATTAATTACATCTTCATTTTCAAAAGCCATTATCAGTTTTTATATCAAGTGAATAGTTAACATTAAAAGGAATAGTTTAAAAAGAATGATTTATTTGCAGGTGTTGACTTGGGTATTAATCAGGGTGACGTGAGAGTCAATGAATGTTGGTGATAAGATGTGTGATACCAAAAAAACAAAATAAATAAGCAGATCAAGGCAAAATACTCATTACAGTGGAACAAACACTCAACAAATCAATTTTGTGTGCAAAGGTTCAAAAGTAAAATAATTTCCTTACGTGCATTGTTGAAAATAATTAAATAATCTTGATAAATCAAATTAACACAGAATTATTTTGTTATTCACAGTTGATTGTTTTTTTAAAACTTCAAGTTTTTCTACTAGAGAACAGAAATAGAAATATATATATTTTTTTTGTTTTTTTATGAGTTTAAAATTGAACCAGTCATTAATCATGAATGTAACCTAATTATAGAAATAGACATGAACACAGTACAAGTTCTTCACGCTTAAAAGTTTAGAAATCAAAAGATGTATATGTAAGTTTCAGTGCATGAATGTGTGTTAAACATAGATTTTCCAATTAAGTTAGTTTATGATATATTTACTTCTTTGAATGTAGTATATATATAATTTTGCATCATTCAGTTTCGTTTACCTTTCGACAAAAATAAGGTGATTTTATTGCATTGATGAGATAAGAATAAATCATCCATAATCTAAATACCTCACCTTGGTGATGTGCATGACTTAAGGCTTTAACTTCTGCACGTACACAAAAACAGAAAATTTTGGACGAATGCATGGCAAAGTGTTTATGCATTCGTCGAACAGGGAAATTTTACCGACAACGATGCGCTGTGTGAACGGAGCATGTGCCTCCAGAGCGGAGTCATCGAACTGGTTCGAAGAAGCGTCGGGCGATACCGAAAGGGGGATCGATGGGCTCCACCGCCCCAACTCCGTTCCGGATTGTTTACGAAAATCTGAGAGTCAAGCGATGGTCGCGAGCCACACATGCAACGATACGTTAAAAACGCGAGTAAAGACAGCAGAAATTGTCGCGGATTTGAAAGCAGAATTGACCTGCCCCGCATTGGAAATCGCGCCGCGGGAGAGTAGGAGACTAAGATCCGCAACGACGAAAAGTAAACCCGGGTACAACTCATAAAAGCTGTTTGTGTATGGGGAATCTGAGCGGCGAGAGCGGTTAAGAATAGGCCACCACCGAGTTTCCCAAGTAGAAAAGAACCAGTGACAAGATTAGGTTGGGTATGAGTTTTCGAATAGTGTGCTGCAGGCCTATGTGTTGCATCGGGACCCAATCACAGTCATAGAATTTCAATTGCGAAGCATCTGTTGTGTCGCGGCGTCCAGATTCATGACGTAAGTTTCCTATTGCCTTTCCTCCCGAGATCGCACCATTTTAAATGACACCCTTGCCCCGTCTCTGGGTCATGCAGTGTGCCGCATCAGTCTCACTTGTAAAGCGCCAGTTTCGCTCGTTGAGTCGAACTGTGAAACTGTATGTGAGTCGACTGGATTAAGTCGGATCGTTTTTCCTGATGCAGGTCCAGCATTGGACTTTTTAGGGCCTCAGTGTCGAGAGGTCAAAATTTGCACCGATGGAGCTTGACTTGAGCACTATGCTGGTTTATGGAATCGTTATTTGGCCAAGAGAAGCGACAGTTCAGAAATTGAAGGAATTTGTAGAAGTATGAAGGGAAGAAATGGGTTGGTTGGTTAGAAGGTTATCAATCAGCAAGTGACAAGAGGGTGAAGTCTTTTTGAAGTAGAAGTTAGTTGAGGAATTACGTTTGGAATAAGCGTCTTGTTGTGATGATGTAGACGTGAAGGACGGGAGAAAATTGTGTGTACACTAGAATTGTGAGGGTATTGGGATTTTTGGCCATTCGTGTAAGTTGTGTGTTTCGAGGAACTTCAAGACAGTGAACATGTTCACTTTCGCCGCAGCAAAGAGAACCAGGGGGTTACTGGAGGGAAATAACACGAGTCCTGAATCGGTTGTCGCAAAGGCACTTTCGCTGCAGACACCCCAGCAATCGGATTTGCAGGCATTCAGCTCACAGTTTCGGAATTGTGATCCTCTTGCAGCGCTTGCAACCAGGATACTTTCGACCAGTGATACATTCCCTTGCCACGAGGAAACAACCTCATCGTCGCGCTTTTATGAGGGGAGAGGCCATATGTTGAAGCGATCTCGTTCCAATGAGTTCGTCCGATTTGAGAATCAGGAGAAGCTCTGCCATCGGACTTGGTTGCTCGCGGATCAGCCTCCATATTCGCTCGGATCTACATTTAAGGAAACCATCGATCATGCTGTGACAGAAAGGGCCGCATGGAATACCACTTCATCGCAGTTTGACTGGTTCCGGGACCCCTCACTCACCACTCCTCTCGTCCCAGAACATACCACATGTCTAACCAAACCATGGCCATCTGTACGACATGGCCAATCAAATGTGACGACGGACTCGACTGAATCGTATTTGCTCCAAATCCTCGCCACAAAGCAGGAACCAGGATCGTGGCCCGATTGGCGCAAACAAACCAGATCGGGAGGCGTGCCTTCGCCACCAGACGAGCCCGTCTCCACGCACCTGCCGTTAAATGAAAACAATTCCGAGGATGCCGTGTTCTACCAAATGATAATGGACATGGACGAGCCCTCACCTGCAGAGACTGCTCCAGCCTCTGTGCTGCGTAGCCCTGTTCGAACTCGGCGAGTATTTCCAGAGGCCGCTGTTATGGGATGTGCTAAGCACAACCAGCAGGAGAATGACCGATCAAGCGTGGACACTCCCAGCACTCCCCCGCAAGAGAAAAAATGCGCACAGACGAAGGTGACGCGCAGCATTCTCCATTATCGAGGCGTGCGCCAACGGCCTTGGGGGAAATTTGCAGCTGAAATCCGGGATTCCTCAAGGCAAGGGACGCGTGTTTGGCTCGGGACTTTCGACACAGCGGAGCAAGCAGCTTTGGCGTACGACGCGGCCGCGCTGAAAATGCGAGGACGCAGAGCACTTCTCAACTTCCCGCTCAGAGCCACTCTCCCGACACCAACACCGCCACCGACTGCATCAGCATCCTCAACACCGTCTCCTTCGGAACCGGATCTGCAACCGGATTCCTCCCCAGAACCCGAACCCAGCGCAAATGTCTCGACCGACGAGGGCATAGAGACGGGATCCACAGCAAGTGAGGTGGAGAAGGCCACACAACCAGCAATCCTGGAGGTGCAAGACCTAACAACAGAGTTCCTCGAAGTCCTACTATCAAGCTCTCACCCAGACTCAGACTTGCGGCCCACCTCACCGCTTCTCTTCGACGGATGCACGCTCATCTCTGACATCGCTTGCAGTAATTTTCCACTTCAAGTTTAACAGATTGCCTCTAAGTCTTGATCTCATCAACCAGCTAGCAGAGTGGCCATCGAAACGACTTTCATCGAGCCTCGCATGTACAATTCTCACACACCGCAAATCTAACCAACCCCTCGTCCAAAACTCAGTGCTCTGATTGTGCGTGAGGCGAGAATTGGAAACCCACAACCCAATTCGAGACAACCGTCGTCGGGAGACGTCGCAACGGAATCACAACAGCATTGCACGCGGAATTCCGGTGTTGCGACACGACATTGTTCTCACACGTAATAATGCAATTCCGCTCCTCCCGGATTGCAGCTGATTGAATGTGCCTTCATCAGTTGGCTGATTGCTCGATATTTTTGGCACTTTAAAGTAAAGATCTGAGCGAATTGTGGCACAGGCATCTATCGATGTGTGGAATAAATCCCGTGCGATTGAATCCTCTGCTCGAATGAGCAATTTGCGAAGCTGCTTTGGGCACAAGTAGGATTTCGCCGTGATGTGCGTTAGAAGGGGAAGAATCGCCATGAGCTGTGCAATGAATGACCAAATTCGTCTTCTACGTTGGCCGTGTCATGGATTCTTCTTCCTTCTTCCACTTTTACACAATTCAAGTTTATTATTTATTTATTTATTTATTTTTGTATAATTAAATTTTGCACGTTGTAGGAACAATGTAGGGGTCATGATTTTGACAAACAAAGAATGTATGTTGACATGAACCTTAATATGAATAAGTTGTGGAATTCTTTAAGGTGAAATTGTTGCAAACAATGTTTCATTATTTCTTTAAAATTTCCTACTAAAGTAAGTTCTAGTTTACCTTGAAAATATAATATGGTAAAATTTCTTCTACATTATGGTAGGTAAGTCTTTTATGAAACTAAAATTGAAGAATTTCATAACTGGATAATTTTAACATATAATAAGATTGGTTGAATCAAGAGTTAGTTCTAAAGACTTTTTGGCTATTTATCTATATATATATATATATATATATATATATATGTATATATTTAAATTGCATGAAATATTGCAAATTAAATTTGATAGTATGGTATTAATTTTTTAAATTTTTTTTCACGTGCTTTGTAATATTAAATAAAATATAAAAGTGAGAATATATATATATATATATATATATATATATATATATATGGAAGCTCATTTGCTAAACATCATGGAAGTAATTTTGCAAAAATTAAGATAGAGATATGGATGCCCTTGATTATGCCTTATTTAAACTAATCGTTTGTAATGTTTAAATAAATGCTAAAGTGAGATTTTTTTTTTTTTTTTTTTTTTTTTTTTTTTAAATTACAACCTACAAGTATTTTTTTTTAAAAAAAACAAGATTTAAAATCTAGATGTTGATGGAATTATAAATATTATTTTATTTTTGATTTTTTTATTAATTTACAATATTTTAATTATAAAATATTTGTAATAATGTTAAAAATTCAAATCATCTACAAAGAACATAAATCTTCTTTTTCAGATAAAAGATTAAAAAAAATTAAAAAAATGATTGTTTTTAGAACTAATAAAATTTTTCATATTTGAAATTTGTATTTTGAATGCAAGTCTGGTTTTTCTTTAAAAAATTATAAGTTATATAAATATGGCAGTAATGATGAATTAACAACATTGTAAATTGTTTTACTTCTATTTTTTGAAATTAATTATGTTTTAAAGAAGTTGGTTAATGTTGTTAAAAATATAAATCTAGACAAAAATTATAAGATAATACACTATTTTGTAATTGAAGAAGGGAGGAAGTAAAAGAAAATTATATGTATATAAAAAAATAGCTATTGCCAAATATTAAGAAGATAATATTGAACTAAGATTGGAATATAAGGAACACATTGACAAGATTGAGGATGACTTCAATCTTGTCTCCATACATGCTTGCTACTAAAAGATCTTGTGGAAGCTTTTTAAGAACCATAAGACTTATGGTCCACATTGTAGTTTGCTTCCAATACAATTTTTTAAATATAGGAAACTAGTGAAAGAAGTTTTAATAGCTACACAACATAACTATGGAAATCTGAAGATTAAATTTTTATATTAGAACCTTCATCATAGTTTCTTAAGGAATCTATTATCTATCTAATATATTCTATCTACTTTTGCTTACTTTTGTTTATTTGTGTTTACTTAAGCAATGTTGGCATCCATTACAAATGTAATAGTTAATGGTTGATGCTATCCCAACAAAAATGAAATAATAATAAGAAGTTAAACTTTAAATATTTAAGTTTAAAAGAAGTATTTCAAAGAGTGTTGTTATTATAAAAAATAATGAAATAAAAAAGTAGATGATAGGTGCAATACTAGTTATTAAGTTTTAATATAGATTTATTTTAATTATAATTAGATTCTTATTAACCTTTAATATTTATTATTATAGTTGGATAAGACCTTTGAATATATAAATATATAAATAAGTAAACATATATATATATATATATATATATATATAAATAGTAAATTATAGAGTAAAAAATCTAATAAAAATACTAATGTAATTATATTATCAAAAATAACCTATGATAAGAAGATCTAATTGGTGCTATTTTTATTTATTATATGTATATATTTAATAAAATATAAAATAAAATATATTTAAATTTAATAGTTTTTTTTGAATAATTTTATTTATAAATAACTATTAAAAATAAAAATAACTTAAATCTTTGAAGGCTGCAAAAAAATTCCATACAATTAAATTATAATAAAATATAAAATAAGAGCCTTTAGGTTATTATTTAGGAATAAATTTAAAATTAAAAAATAATTAAAATATAATTCATTTATTCCTTGTGTTTCAAAAAAGTCCTAATATTAAACATTCAATCTTTGATATTTAAACTATTTAATTTCTTTTGAGAACTTGATAAATATAAATAAAAAATAAAAAATCATTAATAGAATCTACTTAAGAATTTTATTAAAATTTCAAATAAATTTGTAAAAAAATTATTTAATAATTTAGCTACTTATTTTTTAAAAAAACCTAAATATGATAATATTTAAGTCTTTTCAGTTTAAATAGAATCATTAAGTAAAAAAATTTATAAATTTCAAAAATTTAACTAAAATGATTTTGTATTTTTTTTGCAAGTTATTTTATTGATATACAAATATTTTATAATAAATATTAAATTAATATTTTCTAAAAAATAAATAAATACTAATCTAATGTTTTAGAATATATGTAAATACAAGTTGGTTTTTCAATAAAAATTACTAATAAATTTGTAGCAAGAAAAAAATACATATCTATGAAAGAAAATACAATATTTCTAAAATTATAGATATAAATTTATTATTCAAAATAATAATGTCAAATCAATATCCTTGACTTTAATTAGCTCTGAAAAATTTTAGCAAATCAAATCTGTACATATCTACAAATTGTAAAACTTCTTTTATTCTCCTCTCTAATTCTATTCTTTTATTAATAAAATAATCCTACTTTTTTTGTGGGTACCATTTTTTGTATCTTGGTGGTCTGTTTTTGACATTTTTAAAAAAATGGTCTTCCTCAAATATCAATCTAATTGTTTTTTTCTTTTTTCTTTTTTTGATGATTTTGGTGAATCTATTCATGAAACTTATCTAAAGGAGTTTGTAATGGTTTTATGTCTATCCTACAATGTCTTGTGTCTTATTTAAAGGTCCACAAAGGTAAGTAGAAGTATTTTATTTTATTTTATTTATTTATTTATTTTTAAAATATCAGCATTGAACATTAATTTTTTATTTTAATAATCTTTCATATATTATCTGTGAATTCTGAAGAAATCTCTACAAATAATTTAATTACGCATTTCTTAATATATTAGTCTTTATTCACTCTTTTATCCAACAATGTGTTATAACAAAACACCATCTACATAATTGTACTGCATTTGTATTATTAGATTGCATGTTGAGTATGTTTTATGGGTGAGTTTGTAAATAATGTACAATAACTTGTCAAAAAATAATTGAAATATTCTTTTTATCATAGAAAGAATATTATTATATGATAAAAAATTATTAGAATTTTATAGAAATCATATTAATAGAATTAAATAAAATTTAAATAAAAAATCTTAAGAAAAAAAATATTTAATAAAACAAAAATTATTAAACTCAAAATTTTAAAATTTCATGATTAATAGAAATATATAAATTTAATAAATATTTTTTGTTTTAACTAATACAAAGTGATAAGAGAATACAAAGAAAATAAATATCTTATATTTTAATTGATATTTCTTATCTTTTTTTTATTTTTAAATAATATAATTCAATACTATTTTAGAATATATATATATATATATATATATATATATATATATTGAAAATAAAAGTAGTGACTAAAGTGTAATGACATCAATCCTTCAAAATTTTCAACTCTTCTTTTTAAAAAATAAATAATAAATACTTGTGAGTAAATTAAAGATTTAGGATTTAGGGTAAGATTTTGGATTTTAGAAAGTAACAACCTTCTTTAGAAAGTAATATAAGAGCCCCAAAGGAGGCGTTCTTCTCTTGTTTTTGTTATATGAACTTGAAATATATAGTTTGTTAATTGATTTAAAGACAAAAAGATTTAGGAAGGACTAAATTTTTATTGGATATTTTTTTTAAAATATGTAGGAGAAGATATAGAAATTAGTAGCAAATAAAGGCCTAATGTTTTTGAAGGCAATATTCTCTCTCCACAACGATGTATCAATGGTCATAAATTTTAAAAAATTTAAATATAAATTTAAATTTTAAAAAAATTGATCAATGTAATTTTGTATTGAAAACAAATTATAGTGAAATTTTTTTATTTAACCACAAGATATTATTATTATTAATTATTATTACTATTTTTAATTTCATAAT